ATGGCATATAAGATTAAATGAAATATATTATTTCCCCTTTTTCATAAAGGATGGTAGTGAAGTACAACATTAATTTGACTAAGGTCAGCCAATTTAAAAATACTATAAGGAAAGAAGGAAGATTGGAAAGTCTGAAGGAAAAGATCCAAAAGCTGTAGACATGAATACCTATCTAGATAAGCACCTATAAATTTAACAGACCAATTATTAGAACTAATATGTTCAGATAGATTTATCTACAAAAATCAACAGGATTGTCTGTATCAGCAGTGGCCAACTGGAAATGATAATAAACAATTAGCATAAAATGGAATAAATATGATGTAGTACTTGAGATAAATCAAGAAAATATAAGACTAATATGCATCAAACTTTAAAACTTGAATAATTGACAACTCTTGAATAGGATGACTTAATATTATAACAAAGTCAGCTCTCCCCAGATTAATTCCTATATTCACAACAACCCATAACTCTTTAATTTAAAGAAACCTCGTCAATTTACTCTAAAAACTATATGTCATAACGGTAGGTCGATGAAGAACTAAGTCAGCTTAAAAAGAAAATGAACATATCTAAAAAAATAGTCCTCACAGATGAAGTTACTATTTGCAGCTTGAGGCTGTGATATTCAAAACACCTGCCTTACCTCCACCCAGGACCAAAACCAAGATAACTGAATGCTCTTAAATCAGGGAAAGGCAGAAGAGTTTAATTAACTGATCACAAATCATGGAAACTGATATATCAGTCAAAAGTCTCCCCCAAAATTAAATGCCCACGATTACATGGCAATTTGCTTTATAAGTAAATTCTACTAATTCTTTAAAGAAGAATGTATGCTCATCTTGCTCGAATTATTTCTAAAAATATAAAGAGAGGGAATACTCCCTAATATATTTTACTATGCCAACATTACCTAATACTAAAACCAGATAAAGACAACACACACAAAAAAAACTACAGACCACGATCCCTGGTGAATATTGATGCAAAAACCTCCAACAAAATATTAACAAGATTAGATGCAAGACCTGCAACAGCAAACTATATAGATGTAGATGCTGGCAATACATCTCATGAGATCATCAATAAAGATGTTTTTGGAGACTTGATCCCTAAAGCAAGGAAAATAAAAGCCAAAATAAACAGTTGGGATTACCTCAAAGTAAAAAGCCTTTATACAGCAAAAGAAAATATAGATTAAGAAGATATCCCACTGAATGGGAGAGATGTTTATACACTATACAACAGACGAAGAGTTAGTGTCCACGATTACAAAAAACTTGCACAATTTAACCATGAAAACAATAACAAAACCCAGTTTATAAATGGACAGCGGGCATGGACACACCACCGTTCACCAAACAGGTCGTCAATCATCCAGAGGCCGATAGACACATGGAAAGCTGTTCATCACCACTTTTATCAAGGGAGATGCAGGTTAAAACCACAATGAGCTACTATCTCACATCCATAAGAATGGCACAAACTAAAAGAATCCCAACAAGAACTGCTGGAGAGGACGTGGAGGGAGAGGAACACTAGTGTGCCGTCGGTGGGAGTGTTAACTGGTACCGTCATTTTGGAAAGCAATCTGGATTTACCTTCAGAAAGAAAAGTGCACAGACTATGACCCACCAACCCCAATGATGGGCACCACACCAAAGAATGTGAGACCACCAACTCAAACCGTGTGTCCCACAACGCTTAGACAGCGCTGTTTACAGTAACTAGGATGCGGAAAAAACCTAAATGCCCACTGAGAGAGGACTGGCTCCCAGCGGTGGTCTCTCCCCACCATGGAATCCTGTTCAGCCGTAAAGGAAGACAAAGTGTTGCCATTCACAGGAACATGGAAGGCATCCCAGGGAAGGACCTGCATACAGCAAGTCATAATGCCAAAGACAAATACTGGACACTTACATAGTGGACAACCTGGACAAAGCAAAACATAAAACTGAAGGACATTAACACATGAAATGAGGTTTCTGAGTTTAAGGGGGGAGTTATCAAAGGGATATAAGGGATCATAATGTGGGGGAGGAAGATCCGTTAAAAAAGAAGAACATTGCCTTTCAACAGACTTCTGGCTTTTGATAGATAGTTAGATAGATAGATAGATAGATACATACATACATACATACATACATATATACATACGATACACAGAAAAGTTAATAATTACAGGGTTAACTGAAACAAATATGGGAGAGTATTAGGCAAAGCAAAGGAGGCTTATTTAACAAAACTTTAAAAGCACAAATTTCTGGATTTAATTACATCAAAATTAGGAAGCTATGTTTAATAAAAATAAATGAATAAACAAATAAATAACATGGGCCAATTAAGAGTCAGACGATAGGACTGAGATTCCGCCCCCACCCCCAAAGTCTAAACCTGACAAAGGATTAACAACTAGAATACAGGGAACTCTGTAAAGCAACAAGAAGAGGAAATCAACTCCAATAGAAAAATGGGCAAATGATATGACAGGCAATTTACAGAAAAGGAAACCCCCCAAAAGCTAATAAGCACATGAAGTGATGCTCAAACTCATTAGTAGTCAAAGAAATGCAAATTAAAACAAGATAGCACTTTACACCTTCACACTGGTTAAAAACTGGAAAGCTGGCTAATACCAATTAATGGCAGAAGTGAGGAAGGTGGGCTCCCTCATATGTGGCCAGTGGGGGTGCAAACTGGTAAAGCCATGTTGGAGAACTGTCCCAAGCTAGTTAGGCGAATTAAGCACACACTACCCTAGCACCCTGAAAACTTCCCATACGTGGCAAGGGGAAATCTACAAGGACGTGTGCGGCAGGCTTGTGGGTGGAGGAGAGAGGTATGTCGCAATCTGGGTTGAGCCTCACTAATATAAGGAACCAGAGGATGACACAGACACAAAACAACATGGGTAGATCTGAAAATCTCAGTGCCGACAGAAAAAATATGAGGACGACAATGGTCCACAACACCATTTACATAATCAATCCACGCACACACCCTGTGCAACATCCGTGGCCTAACAGGTCACTGGGATGTCCACCGCAACCAAGAAGAGGTCCAGATCTCCTCGGGCTATTGTGACAGAGGTTGGGGGCGGTTAATAGAGCTCTGGGGCAAAGATTATCTTTTCTTCTAGAGCAAAAGATCGGAATAGACAAGGGCTCCCCAGATCAATGGAGTCGCAGGCCCACACAGATTTTATCAGCCCTCTCTAGCCAGGGGGCCACGTTTACCCTGCTGTCAGCCACTGAGATGACAGGTGGTTCCTGTGGGGGGAGGGGCCGCCTCCCCAGCGGGAGGGGCAGCTGCTCCTCTCAACCCAGTGGGGAGGAAAATTGTGGCTCAGGCACCAGTCCCAGGCCAAGAGGCTTGGAGGTTGTGTGTGGAGGGCGTGTGTGTCCAATGGCTTCCCTTTTCTTTGTGAAGGCCCTCCTTTTACATGTTTCATTACTAGGCGAGCAGTCTCCCAAATATTCAACTATTTCTTGAAGATGCCATTTTTGAAGGCTTCCATATTCCGTCTGTGGAGCTGCCCAATCCGTTTGGCCAATCCGTAGTTGGCCCAGGGGCACCTACCTGTGTGGCTGGTGCTCAGCCCCTTCCGTGGAAGCCCACGGTGCTGCTTCTGGGAGCTTCTTGGCACAGTGCTGGAAGCTCCTCCACCCAACACACCCAAAACAAGCCTTCTGGCAGGAGGCTGGCCTGCCCCTGCTGGAGCACTAGGCACAGTTTGAACCAGCCCCCTATGGGGGTGCACACGCAGACCACCCTCAGGCAGGTGCACACACACACACACACACACAGAGACATTGCCACAGGGCAACCCCAATGTGAAATGGGTTGGCCTGACTGCGGGTCCTCACCCCTGCGCTTTAAAGGGATCTTTAATGGAATTCAGCCACAAGTACAAACAAAAAGGGTAAGAAAGGATTTATTTACAAAAAGGTGGGGTGAAGAAATGAATAACTCAGGGAGAGAGAGAAATTGGTGAATATGTCCTGCCAGTTCCGTTGATCTGGATCCCCAAAAGCATGCAGAAAGCCAGCGAAAATCCAAGCACCCCCAAGACCTACATGTCTGGTTATATCCCAAGCCTGGCTGCTTAACCCCACCCTCAGTTCCCAGCAATCCTCCCTTCGGTGGTGATGACATTATGGGATTTGTAGTCCTTGGTGTCTTGGTCTCTTTGGTCTGGGGTGGAAAGGGGTCCATAAAACCTATCTGTGGAGTTTCTTCAGGACATCTTTCCCCCAACAAAGTCACCCCCCCCCCAACATGCACGTGCAAACACAGGCAGATGCCCACACAGGCTCTTCCTAAAGACAAAAATGCTTATCTACAGACACACAAGGTCACACACAGGCCCGATGGAGCCTGTGGTGCATCCAAATGTACAAGCAGAGGCTCACAGACACACACACGCACATGCTCCCATACACATAATGCATACAATGACACACAGGTACCCCCACGCCCATGCAGGCGTCCCGACTCCAGGCCCGCTCCTCCCACAGCCGTCTCCATCTTGGCTGATGGTGACTCTGCTTCCGGTTTCTCAAGTTGGAAATATATGAGCCATCCTTGGCTGTGATACTCATGTCATCAAAACAGTGGCAAGTCTACCCAGATTCAAGGAGGGGAGGACATGGATTCCGCCTCTCGATGGGATAAACACAAAAGAATCTGCAGTCGTATGTTAAAATGGCCATGCATGTGACGCAGGAATGCTTATACACACAAACATATATATGCACACACATGTGCACACGGCACACACCTATACACCTATACAGATACACTCTCTTGGGCCTTGTGCTCAGAATCGCTGAGAGCAGGCTCACACAGTCATATGTGCGCATCTGAGCACACATGTAACACACCAGTATACCCACAGCACATGATGCACAACCACATGTTCACAATCACCAGCCCTGCCCTGGGATGCCCGCCGTCATACTTGCAGCCACACCTGCTTGCTCCCTGCCACCTACCTGGCTGAGCCGGGGGCCAGGATGGGCCGGCGTGGTTTGGATGGTACGAGGTGGGCCTTCTCTCCAGACCACCCTTCCCTCGTGGCAGGGGCCTGGCAAGAAGGAAAACAAATAACCTTGCAGTGTTTAAATAAGCAAAGTTTTGTGCAAAGCAGAGGTTAATGTACTTTATTGTTCAATGTCATGTTTATAGTGGATTGGTGGAGGGAAAAATGTGATTAATTGCCCCGAAGCCCACGGATCTACAATTATTTGGTTGTTGTGAACAAATAAAGGACTACAGTATTCATCATATTCAAATGAGGCAGCAGAATAAATGATGGCGGGCCGGGTAGGAACAAAACCGAGGCGTGTTCCCGCACAATCGCAAGGCGACTGGCGCCTTGTCAACCAGACGCAGGGTGGTGGCGGGAGCCGAACCCGTTTGTCTCTGCACGCCAGCCAGGGCTGGGCTGACCCTGCAGGTGCCAGCGTTAATTCATGTCACACCTCCTGCCTCCCTCCTCCCCGGTATGGAGACCAGGCGCCAGTTTCGTAATAAAGACTTGTTTCCGACGAGGCCCGGTTTGGGGCGGGGGGCACAGATCTTCATTAGCGCCCCTTTCCCGGGCCGCGCTCGTTACAGAGCACAGGTACTGGCTAAATGTGTCCGATCATTCATCATGATTTTGCCCTCCACTTTGTCACAGCGTGGGGATTTAAGGAAGATAGATGGTACAAGATGTTGTCTCCTCCACAGACGCTTTCTGCTCTGGTAAGTGTGTCCGATGCAGAATTATTTTGCCACTTTATTATTTCCTAGTGAGTGTTTGTCAGAGCTTCGCCTCTTGGAAGGAGCGAGTTGTTTCCTGTCACTCAGGGATGTCGCGGGAGCTGTGATGCTTGGCTGGGCTCGCCAGCCAGCTGGAACCCGGGCTGGGTCCCCAGGCAGGGCTGCGGGGGGTCCAGGGAGTCTGGGCCATGGGGTGAATGTCAAATCCAACAGAAAAGGGAGGAGGCAGGTTTGGGGAGAAGGCGGGGCATGGGGCCTCTGGACATGCTGTGTTGGGGGCGCCACTGGGGCATCGTTCAGGACCTGGCCTGGCCTCTGGCCAGGCCACTGGATGGGGAGCTGTTTGAACCAGTGTCCAAAGGGCTGTAAGAGCTTGGCCTTGAGCTGAGCCAGCTGGAGAGAGTATGGGCAAGGCTGGGGCCCTGCCGGGCTGCTGATGGCCTTAGGGCAGCACAGCCAAATCTGGGGCTCGTTGCTGGCACCAAAGGAGCTTCCAGTTCTGATCAGGTTGGCCGAGGGGCCAAGGGGGGCCAGCAGGGATGCTGGTGGGAGATCACGAGGCGAAAGATGGGGGTATGTTCAACCTGAAACCCAGAGGCAAGCCAGAGCCGTGTTCAGAGCTCTGAACCAGAGAACCAGGAACTTCACTCCAGGTCATGCTCGGCCACAGAGCGGGGGGCCTTGCAAACTGAAAGTCTCTTCCCAGGGAGAAAGCGCAACGCCCAGGAGCCAGCGTCTGTGCCGTGTCCCTCCTCACCTGTGTTTGTTCAGCCAGGGTCTCCCCTCCTCCTTAGAGGTTCAGGGGAAAGTTATGGGGACCACAACCAGCAGGTATACAAGCAGAGGCAGGGACATCGGTGAGGGCACCCCACCTTTCTCTGCCCCCAAGATGCCCCTGCTGGAGTCTGCCTTGCCAACGTGTCCCCGTCTGCCCCCTCCAAGTCGGCCCAGAGGCTGAGTGGTGTGGGATGAAGGGCGCATTCTGGAACCTGGCCTGGGTGGGGCCACTGGCTTCCTGTGTCCGGTTTGTGAGGTCAGCGCGGAAGGACTCGGCGTGGTCCCGGCACTTGCAGGTGTGGGCTCAACACAGATGTCACCCCTGCCTGGAGCCTGGGGGCCGGGGCCCCAGCTCACCCCTGCCCTGTCCTTGCGGCCTCGCTGGTTCTCCTGCGTGGCCAGACCCCCTGCCTGCCCTGCTCCCGCCTTCTCTCTGGGGCAGCCCCATGGAGCAGCTTACCAGCTCCCAGGGAACCCCCAGTTCTTCCCCAGCGGACCCCAGCTGCGCCCTGGGGCGCAGTCCCGCCCTGGAGAAGGCGGGCTGAGAGCAGAAAGGTGAGCGGCTCGCATCTGAGCCCCCCCCCCGGGTCTGGGACACCCCCCCATGGGACCCAAAGCTCCAGGAATGAGGGTCACCTATGGGGCCCCCGGGGGGGCGCCCCCGTCAGCCCCACTTTGGAACTGAGAAAAACGCAACTGCAAGCGAAGTAACGTCCTCGAGGTGCCGCGACGGTCAGACGTGGCGCGGGCCTTCGCGTCCAAGGGACCCCAAGCCCCAACCCGGCGCGCGCCCCGCCCCAGGAGCTGCGTGATTGACACCCGCTGCGCCCAATCAGCGCTCCGTCCAACTCAGGTTTCCTCCTTTCTACTGCGCCCCCTCCTGGGGGTGCCTCAAACTCCAGGCGCTGCGCGTCGCGGGCTTCCAGGTGCTAACCTGCCCCCCCAGACGGCTGTGCTTGCATTTTTACATCGAAGGTGTATCCCCTCAGCTCACTAGGATGCTTTTCTTGGAGACCCGTCTCCCATTCACTCACTCGCTCCTGCTCTGCGGCAGCTTCACGCAGGAGCTCAAAGCCCGCAGAGGTGGGCGCGGGGGAGGCGCTGGCGGAAGCTGGGGGGACGCCTGGAAGGTGGGGGGCTCGGCGGAGCACATGCGAGGTTCCGGTGAGGTGTGGCTCTTGGAAGAAGCGTGGAGTCCAGGGCCCGCTGAAGGCAGGGGAAGTGCAGTATCCACGCAGGAACCCTCCTGTCCAGGGGTGGCGACTGGCCCTTCCTTCCACCCGCCCCCCAAACGCTGTCTGCTTTTCCCAGGACGGTGGCCCCAGCCTACTCATCACCTCCACACACTCCTCCCCCTTTCTATTCTTCAGCCAGAATGATCTTCCCCAAACACAGACCTCATGGTGTCACTGCTTCAAAACCTCCATGGCTCCCCATGGCGCACCTACCTTAAACCTAAACCTTGAACTTGCACTCCAGGCCTCAGGATTCAGCGCCCACCTACCCAGCGCCACCCCTGGCCAGCTAGAGCTTAGCCTGTCACTTAAATTCTTTCCCTGCCTATGTTTCCTCGGCTGTAAAATGGGGATAACAATATTACCTGCTACCAGAGGCTGCATTTTCCACAGATGTCAGCTACGGTGATGTCGGGCCCCACAAGCTCTTCTTGCAAGCGTCATGGCTCTTCAGGGAAAGGTGGGGATGAGGCTTCACCACTGGCACTTGGGTGGACCTTTGTCCCTGCCTTGACAGATACAGCACAAGTGATACTATGTGAGGAGGCTAGGTGAGAAGAACTCCACCCACATGCCCTTTGTCCCCTGGGATCAGCTGGCGTGGAATCTGGCGGCCATGCTGTGAGGGAGCCAGGCAGTCTCATGCAGAGGCCACTGTAGGTTCCAACGGACAGTGGCACCAACGGGCTGGCGTCCGTGAGCCATCTCTCCCAGCCAGGCCATGTGCAGCTGAGGGGAGCTGACCTTGTCAGCCCTAGCACACAATAAATGCGTGTGCCACTAAGTTTTCAGGCAGCTCCTTACACACAGCGTAAGATCATAAGCATGCCTGCTCATACGGGTAGTCAGCTGTGGGCGAGCCAAGAGAATTCATTTTCCTAGGGTGGCTGTAACAAACTACCACACTCTCAGGGGCTTAAACAAAAGTTTACGTTCTCACACTTCCCCAAGGGAGAGGCCTGACCTCAGAGTGTCAGTAGGGGGGGCTCCCCCAACACCTCCCTGTTTAGCTTGTAGAAGGCGTATCCCCCCCTCCTACCCTCTCCATGTCTCCATGTGGTCCTCCCTCTGTAAACTCTGTCCTAGTCTCCTCTTCTCGTAAGGATGTCAGTCACACTGGATTAGAGCCCGCCCCAGTGGCCTCATTTTAACACAATTACCTCTCTGAAGACCCCATCTCATTCGCTGATTGCATCTCTACATAAACACAGGACAGGGAGACCCTATCTCCAAATACAGTCCTACTCTAAAGTACGGAAGACTGAAAGCTCAGCCCGTAAATCCGGGGGCTAGGAGGTGTAACGATACATCCCATAACAATAAGCAGACGCATGTGAAGTCCTTGGAAAGGAACCCAGCACTCAATAGATGGTAGCTATGTGACTTTTTTCACTGTCGCTATCACCACTGCTGTTGCCTGCCTGACCTCCAGACACCCCATCACTCCAGTCTCGGGGATGGCTTGGATCCCCAGGTAGCACCTTAGGCTGTCTCCCCGACCTGCTGCTCGCAACCTGTTCTCCATCTACCCAAATCCTCCCTGTCTGAGGACACCCCGCTCCCACCACCCCCTCCTGCAGAGCCTTCCTGACTTCCCCTCTCCTGTATCCCTCCAGCCTGTGTTGGGGGCGCTGGTGACCCATTATTCCGGTTTGCCTTGTCTGAGAAGCTTGGGCTGTTTTAAGCGGAGCCTTTGTTTTGTTTTCAAATGTGGAAGTAGGGCTTTTTGGTTCTCTGAATATAAAAATAATTTGTGCCCAGTTTAGAAATTTCAGGCAGTAGAGGAAGGTTTAAAGAAGAAAGTGAAAACCACCTAGAATTAATGACTTAAATTTTGGTTTATATCTTTCTGGAGCTTCTCATGTATATATATGTGCACGTGTTTTCTTGATTCTAGGACAACGCTGATTGCAGAATGCATCACTGATTTAATTATACCGCTTTTAGGGAGAAAATAACTACATATTAATTGCAATGCACATCCACATTTCAAAGATGTTAAAATGTAAAATATATGTACATCTTAGAATCAAGAAAATATTATAGGAGCGTAGAGCTATGTTTTACAAAATGGGAATCTCTATGAATATGATTTTACGGTCTTACTTAAAAAAAATCTGAACAACAAAGCCTGGCCAGCTTTCCACCTCAATAAATTAATATCACACCATCGATTTTAATGGCTGCATAGTATTCCATTAAATTGATATATGATAATATATTTACCCTCACTAAAGGGCATGAATTTTTTATTATCATTCTGATACAAACACATTTATAGACCCTTGTCCTTATTTTCCCTAAGATAAATTCCTCTAATCAGCAAGGTTGACTGGGAGAGTCACAGCTCTTTGCCCGGTGGGGGTGGGGGGGGCTGGCTATGACAAGCCCACATGTCCCCCAAGGACAGCAGCTGTCACTGAACCACCTGTGGGTTCTCCAGTACCGGGTCCTGTCACCAAACCTGGTGCACAGCCAGGCTCTGGGAATGGCTGACAGCTGTCAATTTCTTAGTAACCACCAGTCAGGAGACAGACTTGGTGAATACCCTGCCTAGAGTGGAGATATGTGTGATTCCACTTGCTTCACCTGAGATGAAAAAAATAAAAAGCATAATTTGGGGGTCGGCCATGGTTTCAAGTCCCAGAGTAGCTACTCAGTGTGTGAGGTCATCTCCCAGCACCTCGGTTTCCCCAACTGTACAAGGGAGAAAATGACACTTCCTTGATTCTGCCCAGCATCTGAGAGGATGGAGGGGCTGGGCATAGTCCTCACAGGTGCCACTCTCCCAAGGAAAACCCACTCCTGGGGAAATCTAGCACATAAGTTGGTGGGGGTGGGGGGTGGCAAAGACCTTCAGGGTCTGTGACAACATCTATGCCCCATCAGTGAGCCTGGCCCTGTGGGACACAGTTGGGGAGGTAGGGGCTTTGAGTTTCTAATAAGAAGATAAGGACTCACAGTTGCCATTTGCTGAACCCTCACTATGTGCTAAGCACTTATTAAATGCTTTATATTCTTTTTTTTTTTTTTTATTTCACCTGGCAAGAATGCCAGGTAGAAATTACAGCTCCATTTAACAGAGGACAAAATGGACTCAGGGTGACTGGACCAGGATCTCAACTCCATTCACTTCTCCACCACCACCTCTCACCCTGACTTCCTGCCCCCTGCCCTGTCCTCCTCCTCTCTGTAGCCAGAGTGAGCTTTTCAGACCACCAAGCTGACTGTGACATTTCTCTGCTGATGACCTGTGGCGAGAGTCTCCCTAGGGCCCTTGGGAATAAGTCCAAAGTCCTGAATATGGCATGTAAAGGGTTCTGCTGGGAAGTGTGGTTCCCCAAATTCCTCCAGCTCCACCCACCCCTTACCTTTTAGTTCTTGGGCCTAAGCTCTTGGTTTCTACAATAGACAAGCTTCCTCCTGCCTCAGGGTCTTTGCACTGCTCTTCCACTGCCATTAGCTATTTGATCTCCACTCAGCCTTCCAAGTTCAACTTAGATTCACCTCATCAAGGAAGCCTTCTCTGACATTCCCTTCCCCAAGTCAAGCACCTTTGTCCTATTTTGTGACATGCATATACTTATAATCCCTACGGTGGATCATAGGAAACTGACCATTTCTCCATTAAGGGCACTTTCCTGTAGTTCAACCTAATAAATATTTATTGTGTTACCTCTTCCATTTAAGATATGCTCACCACACAGTGCTGACCACTGGTTCACCCAGCACGGTGCCTGGACACAGAATGGAACCTCAATAAATGCTGATGAACAAATGAATGATGAAGTTGCCCTTGGATCTGACCCCAGTCTCTCTGACAGAGCTTAAGGAATTTGGCACCTGATCTACACTAGTGTGTGGGCTACCTGCCTACCACTTGGCACAGTCACAGGCTGCAAAGACACAGGTTGAGGGCGGCCACCCAAACCCTGCCAGGTGGACAGAGCAGACCCCTAGTAGCTGCTTCCCACTGCCACGCAGTCTGACCCCAGTTCTCCACAGCCATGTCTGGTGTCGCTGGGAAGTGGTCAAATGACAGCTGGTTCCACAAGACCAAAGGAGCTAGACTGGGTGCTGTCCCTCTGCTCTCTCGTCCCCACTGGCCTGGCCTGCCAGCCTCACCGGCTGCGCGCTGAGCCCCTTCAGCCACACGGTGGCAGTGTTGGCACCAACTGGGCTCCAGAGCAGCAGAAGCCTCAGCCCAGCTCCAGCAAGCCGCCCTTAGAGGCCTGTGAGCAAGAGAGAGTGGGGCGTGTGTGCACCCCTCCCCCACCCTACGGTGTGCACAAAAGGGTGTGAGTGCAGGATGGACTGCGAACGTGCACTGTGCCAGTGTGTGTGGGCACCTGAGTGCGCGGCATGTCTGGGGGAGTCTGCACGTGTAGGTGCAGGCATGTGCGTGTGTCTCTGTGGGGGGGTGGGGTGCACCCACCTATGTCCATGCCTGTTGTGTGTCTTTGTATCTCTGTACGGGTGTCCGTGGTGCGGCGTCTTGGTGCCTCATAGGTGCATGTCTGACTGGGTGCCTCTTTCTGCCTCCCTGCTGTTTCTTAAGGTGTCCCTTGTCTGCTCTGTGACTGTTGAGCTGAGCGCGGGCGGGCACGCGTGTGTTTCTGACTGGCCTCTGTGCGCAATGAGAGCCAGTGGTTGACAGAGGAAGTCTGGTTATCAGGATGCTCCAGGGCAGGGACCTCTACGCCTTGGCCTCCCCCAGCTCTGGCCCCTGCCCTGCCCTGTCATCACCTGCAGGGACCTGCCCACTTCCCTACCCCTCAGCCCCCAGCCTCAGGCTCCACCAGGTGGCTACCCACTCAGAGTACCCTGTCCCTCCCTCTGCCATGACAGCTTTTTCTCACAAGCCTCCTCCACCAAGTGCCAGCTCCTGTGTGCTCAACTATTTACCCAGAGGTACCTGAGGGCTCAGGTCACCTGCTGACCCCAGTGCCATGAGTGAACCAAAAGCCCCCCACCCCGTACCTCGCCTCTGGCAGCCCCCAGTCTGCGTGCGAGGGGTAGGGTGAGCTCCCCTCCCTGAGGAAGCTGCCCCCTTATCCCTGGAGTCCCTGGTGGGACCTGGAGGGGCAGACTGGAGGGCACAGTTTGTCTCTGTCCTCAGACTGGAGGCGCCTGGAGACGGGCTCTGCCTCTCCCCTCCGACCTCATTGGAATCACGTCTCTGATTCTACTGCCCCGTGCTGGAGAGAGAGCAGGGTCCCTGCCTCCTCCTCAGGTCCCCACTGCTTGCCCTGTGCTGGCATTTCCCAGCAGGGGGTCAGCTCCGTCCCAACCCACCCCTCCCCGCAGGCGTGGGCCCAAGGTGCCATGTCTGGCCATGTCTGGCCACCCTTCCCCCGTGGTTATTAATAATTGGGTATTAGGCGAGAGGCGACTATTGATTCCGGCGCAGGCGGCTCCAAGTCGGGGTAATTTATGGAAACACTGGTGTCCCTGGTGATAAATAATGAGGTGATCGCAGAGACGGGTCACTGGTGAGTGGCCTCCAGTCCACTGCCCTGTCCACTAACACGCTGGCTCTTAAATGGAGGGAGAGGGAGAGAGACCCGGGGCGGGCGGTAAAGACAAAGGATGCGCTGCGGAAGGAGGCGCCGGGAAGCCTGGGGACATGGGAGCCGTGGCGGTGGGTGCACGGGCAGGGGCTGGCGGGAAGGGGCAGCAGTGCAGAGAGAGGAGGACAGAATGACAGACAGGGACAGAGCAAGAGCCAGGGCAGAGGCGGGAGAAGGAAATTATGAGGACAGTCGACAGCAGCCAGACATGAGGAGGGAGTCGGGGGAAGCACACAAAGCCAGAGACGAGACATGGAGAACAACAGAACTGGGGAGGCAGGAGGGTGAATGGAAACAAAGAGACGGCAGAGTGGCAAAGGGCAGCCCCGCGAGTGCCCACTGCGTGCCAGTTCTGGGCTGGATTCTCGTTCCATCCTGCCGGCAGCCCTGAGTAAGGAACTCAGAGCATGGACTCCAGAGTGAACCCGCCTGGGTTCACATCCCAGCGCTGCCCTGGCCCCCCTGTGAGACCTTGGCGGGTCACTCGGCTCCTGTGCCTGGCTCCCCACCTGGAAGGAGGAGCCCACAGGATACCTGGGCCAATGGTGACTAAGAGGCTTACGCAGGTGGACATCTGTGCCCCAAGGGCCCGGGGCCCGGCACTCACCAGTGCTGGATAAACCTGTGTCAAGTCCATTGCATACAATCCCATTTGCTTCAATTCGTTGCCATTTGACATGGTGTCTGGTTTACAGTGAATTCCAGGCAAGAATGAGATGAGATCCGACTGGGCAGTTGGGGGGAGACTCCCTGCAGAAGTGGGGTTTGATTTGAGACGGGGGTAGAATTACACAGAAAGGTTTTCCAGAGGGCAGCACAGTTTATGCACAAACATCATAGGTTTCAAGATTGATTGGAAGGACCTTTGAAGGCCTCGTGCATCCCCCCCAATGTACCCCAAGTTTAACTTGGCTACCTCCAGGGACAGGGAACTTACTACCACCCTCAAGAAACCCTTAACTCCAAGAAGGTCCTTCCTCAGAGAGCGCCAGCACACGCTGCCACTCCAGTTCAGCGACGTCACCCACCCCATTTTCTGATCACTGTTGCAACCACTCCCACCTGCTCGAATATTCCTCCTGGGAAGGCGCTTTCAGTCCTCACCTAGCGCTGGCTGCTTCCCTGGGCAGCTCCAGCCAGGAGGGCTTGGCAAGGCAGAGCCAGAGACCTACTCTGTGCTAAGCAGGGCAGATGGGGTCGAATTATTCCCTTCGCCCTAGATGCACGCAGTGTTCAAACTCTGCTTCCAGACCTGGAGTTTCTTGGGGAGGCACCAGGGCTGCCCCAGGGTTGAGGGGTGACTCCCCTTCCTTCTCCATGATTTGTTCCAGGTAATAAAATGTGTGGGAGCTTCTGGTCTACAGGATGTTTAAGCTGCTGCCCCAACAGAAGCCTCTTAGAGCGACAGGGACCATGGGGATGGGGGAAGGGACAGACAGAGCTGCGTGGCCTGGGCCTGGGCCCAGTGACCATGACCTTGTAGGGATCCATTGATTGGCCCAAGCCCCGCGTGCTCCAGGGTCACAGAGCCTCTGTGTGCATAGGGGGCTTCATGGCAAAGGAGAAGCTGCTCTGCTGGGTGCTGCTGTCATCATCCTCCCTCTCCGGCACCCCCTCACACACACATACACACTGGGTGACCAAGGACTCTCTCCTTGGAGTCATTTCCAAATATAAGTGCCCATACGGGTCCCCAGTACCTGCGTCTGGTTATGACTCCGCTGTCCCTCGGCCCTGGCTCTGAGCCCGCACAGCTCTCTTCCCTCAACCCCGTGGGGCCAGCGAAGGTGTCTCTGCTCACACACAGGGGACGGAGACCACAGCTGAGCCAGGCCAAGTCGGGGGCATGCCACGGGAGACGCCCTGGGTGGACACAGGCTGACCATCAGTCATTTGACACTTCATCCATCCACGTTTTTCCACTTTGTCTGCAAGTGTGTCCCAAGAGAGCTCATCACCCCTTTCTCAGAGTCCAGATGCCTGCTCTCCACCCACTGCTCTGACCTACAGGCCCGGCGCCCCCCCAGACACAGGCCCGCGGCTGCGGTCCCCCAGCCAACCCGGCGTTCTCCTGGTTGACCACTTCCTCCTCTTAGGGCAAACAGATCTCCCTTTATATCCTATTCTAGAATCCAAACTGAGTTGTTGAAACTCATACAACATCATATCAAACAGCAGCTAACTCATTTTTCATTTAGTTTTTCTATTTTATAGGTGAGACAGCTCAGAAAGTTCAACAGCTCAAGCCAAGAAAAGCAGATCATGGGTCTGTACTTTTCTAATGCCCCGCAGCATGCGTGCGTGTGTGCGTGCGTGCGTGTGTGCGTGTGTGAGTGTAGAGGGAACTCTTTAGAATCGTGGATCAGGACTAGCTGTTGAGTGGGGAGGGCACTGCACATTAGGTTACTCAAGCCGAGTTTTATTTCCGGGCAGTGGAGAGCCACACAAGCCGTCTGAGGTTGGACCTGAGTACTTGGGAGATTAATCTGACAGCACATATAACGGATGGGGTTGGGAGGCAGCAGAAGCAGAAGACCAGTGGAGGGTCTGGGGCGACAGCCCAGGTGACAGAGGCCTGCATGGAGCCAGTGAGAGCAGGAAGCGAGGAGAGGAAAGGCTGGGAAGCCAGTCCAGAGGCAGGACTGGCAGGATTTGAGGTGGGAGAGGTGGGGGTAGAAGCCACACATCCTGACCCCATCAGCAAAGGCAGCTGCTGGCATTCGTATGGAGGAGGCAGTGTGGCAGGGTAATGGTTTCGGGACAGGTGGGGACGTAATGGTTTCGGGACAGGTGGAGTCAGAGGGCCAGGAGGTGTCATGTCAGGGGGCCTTGGAGGCGGGCTGATGCTGGGCACAGTGGTTTGGGCTGGAGACAGAGTGTTGGGGTTCGCAGAGACGAGCCACTGGAGGGAACGACAAACCTGGAGGGACCTGCCCAGCTGGGCCTGAACCCCCTGCCCAGTGCCGCTGGACCTATGGGGCTGACCCTTCAGGAGGTGGGGAAGACCCGGAGTCCTCAGGCAGAGACTCGCATGCGTCCAGCCCAGAGTCTGGCGCCTGGGGGTGTCAGTCCCTTGCGGGTACACAGTGGTGGAGCTGAGGCAGGCAGGCAGAGGGGCCGAGGGGGAATTCCAGCAGTGGTGCAGCGAGGCTGGGCACCTGGGGACTTGGTACCCAGGGACCATCCGCTGGAGCCTCTGAGCAGTGGGTGGGATGCGAGGACAACTGTGGCTTCAAGGCATGAAGCCAACGAGGGGGCGGACTTCTGTTGGCACCCACCATGTGCTTTCATCCAGATCACCCCCTCAACAGCCCTGTCCTGTTGGGACTCCACAAACTGAGCCCAGATAATTACGGCCTTGACTCACAGAGGCTGGGGGGCTCCCTGGCTACCCTGGGCTTAGGTTCCCCAGGTCCCCCTACCCTTTCTGCTGCTGGATAAGGCCTCGTGGTCCCCGGGGCCATCCCGGCTTCCTGCAGAGGGCTGGCAGCTCCCATCAGAGCCGGTGCCACAGGCTGGTGGTGGAAGTGCGGCTTCCCTGTGCCCGCTGCTCCCTCGGCCGCAAGGGCTGCCTTGCCCACCCTGGGGGATGCAGCAGGACGCAGCACAAGGTCTCCGCTTCCGAGAAGCCTTCCAGGCCTGCGCGGAGAACCTCCTCCCTGCTCCCAGGGCGCAGGCCTCTGCTGCATCACTTGGTTCCTACACTGGTCCCCCCAGGACAGCAGCTGTTTAGGTGTCTGTCCCCCGGCTCCCATGCCGGTCTGGGGGGCCCCCAGCACTGAGGAAGAAGACGGTCAACGTGCAAACAAATGTGCTGCAGGGGTCCGCCCAAGGCCCCCCAGCCCCGCCGCAGGCCCGGGTGAGGGGTGCTTTGTTCCCGACCTCCAACCACAGGGAGAATAAAAGTTTGTGAAATATTAGTTTAATAAGACATGCGACTACTATTAAGGATCCGAGCGGTCCTTATTTATTATTCATGCGGCCGCGTGATTTAGGGGCAAACGGGTCCGCTGGGGCGCGGGCTCGGCCGCCTCTCTCCTCACGGCTTCCCCACCCCCCAGGCTTCCTCCCCCACACCCCCATCCTGCTGTTCCCGTCTCTGTGCCCCCTCTCAGTGCGCCACGCAGTGCCTTGGGGGTGGGGAGTGGGGTGAAGGGCGCTGCCCGAGTCGTCCTACACTGTCCAGGGTGCAGAGGCCTCTCCGCAGCTTTGTGGACAGCTGTGCCTGGGGGTGCGGCGGGAGGGTGGGGGTGCGGGAGGGGGGTGCTTCTCTTTACCCCATGCCTTCTTTCTGCCTCCTCCCTCTTCTTTCTCCCGCCTGGGGACAGCTGAGGGGAGAGCAGGTCAGAGGTGGCCGTGGGCAGCTCTTCTCCTGCCCCCAACTGGATGTGTGACCTTAGGCCAGTCCCTCACCTTCCCTGCGTCCCAGGGCCCCTCTAAAACTAGAGGTTGGATGAATGAACCGAAAGCTTTGGCGGGAGGAGGGAATTACATACAATAAAGCGCACATATTTCCTGTACACAATCCTTGAGTGTTGATAAATGCCCTCCCATGGAATCACCGCTCAAACACAGAACACTTTCCCTATCTTTAAGATTGCCCCGTTGCAGCCAGCTACCCTCCCCTTCACCCAAAGGCAACCACTGTTCTGATTTCTTTAGCCGCAAATTAGTTTTGTTTGTTCTTGATTTCCTTGTCAATGGAATCATATCCTACATATTTGTGATTTATCTCAATGGTTGGCTCATTTTTATTGCTGCATAGTACTCCACGTGGGACTATACCATAGTGCATTGATCTGATCACCAACTGGTGATCACTTGGGTTGCTTCCCATGTTTGGCAATTATGAAAAACAGCTTCTACAAATCTTTTGGTAGAAAGAATTTCTCTTGGGTACACACTTAGCAAAATTTCAAAGTAGAATAAGAGTATGTTTACCTTTTTTAGTAACTCCCAAACTTTTCCAGAAGATTGTACTATTTTCAACCTTCACCAGCAAAGTAAGTTTTCTGATTGCTCCATGTCCTTGCCAACACTTGATATTGTCCATTGTTTTAATTTTTGCTATTCTATTGGGAATGTGGTATACCACTGCTATTTTATTTTTTTTTTTTTTAAGATTTATTTGTTTATGTACACAAGAGCTGGGGTACAGGCCAGAGATGCAGGGGGTGAGAGGATTCACCAGAAACAGAGTGGGGAACAGGACAGGCAGATTAACTGAAGTACACTGCTGAGGGGAGCACCGGGTAAGTCAGGAGAGGTCTGCTGTGCCATGTAGCCGGCCGGGGATCGAACTTGTGCTGCAGAGGCTGTGGATTGCTTCATAGTGTGGTGCTTAACCCCTTGCGCCACCAGGGAAGCCCCATCACTGTGGTTTTAATGTGCATTTTCTTATGACTAATGTTATTGATCACTTATTCACAGCTACATACGTTTTATTTTGTGAAGTTTCTGTTTTTGAACAATGTTATTTAGATTGTTTTGTCTTTTTATTCTTGATTTGTAAGCCATATTTATATATTAAGAATATAAGTCATCTGCTAGATATACATACTAATATTTTTTATTTTCTCATTTTTTGAATAGTGGCTCAATGAGACGGTTTTGATAAACCAATTCATTAAATTTTTCCTTTATAGTTTGTGCTTTTTGTGTCCTTTTTAAATAGATCTTTGCCTACCTGAAAGTAATGCATTTATTTTCCCTATATTTTCTTTACAGTTGTACCATTTTATGGGTTTTTTTTTTAACCCCATACATTACCCAATTGTCCCAGCATTATTTGTCCAAAAGACTTTTCCAATTCACATTGAATAGCCTTGCTGTCTTTGCCCCTCAATTGACTCTATATATATGTCAGTCTATTTTTGAACTCTTTTTCATTATGTTGATTCCTTGGATCTGTCCTTATGCCAGACCCTCTGCCTGATTACTATACCTTTTCAGTAAGTTTTAAAATTAGAGTAATTCCTCAATTTTTTTTCTCTTTACAAGCTTGTCTTGGCCTTTGCAGGTCCTTTGCATTTCCATAAATATTTTAGAGTCCATTTGTCAACATTTACTAGAAAACCTGTTGGGATTTAGGTTGAGATACAAGTTTTTCTCTAAGTCACTTTGGAAAGGATCTCAGAAGCCTACCTGGCTTCCTAGCCCTGCCTTCTGTGCCTTCCCCTGCCAGTCAGGTGTGGCACTCTGAAAGTCCCTCTCCTGAGCAGCTACCCTCAGCTGCCCTCTCCCCAACCTCATTTCCTGAAAGATCAGCACTGAACCCAAGACACTGCCCATTACTAAAACTCAACACAGGAAACAGTTTTTGATAAACCAAGGCACAAACCAAGCTGGGGTGTCCAAGGACATAAAACCTCAACCCCAGCTCAGTATCTGGACTCAGAGCCCAGCCTGGGGGTAAAGAGCAAGAGTCATTGCCTGTGGGGCAACTCTGGATGAAATATAAACCCCGTATGTCACTAAGATAGTTAAGGTTAAAATGTTATGATGTCTGGGATTTGCGTCAAAATAATTGAGGGGTATGAATGGTGATAGCAATGGAACAAAATTGGTTGAGTTGTTAGCTGTTGAAACTGGCTGATATAGAGTGTTAGCTAGACATTGCATTTTCAATGTTTGCAACTTTTTAGATAAAATTTTTAAAAATACACTCTTCCAGTGAGGCAGCCTCCTCCTCCATCATCTTGCCCAAGCCAGGGCCTGGGCCCTGCTGCTATCTGACTAATGACAACCCCGTTGCCATCTGCGGTGTCCCTAGCGGCCGCTCTGCTCCCCCGTGGCCTGCACGTCACGGAGCAGACACTGACCCGATGGGAGCATGACCTGGCTGTGCAGTTGGCCATATCCGG